CACCGTCTATGTGTTTTTATATAGAGAGAGTGTTAAGAACAAGTAATGGTGATAAGTCAGGTGTATTAAGCTTAAGCTAATGACGTCATTTTATGTACTAATCCATGCAACGCGTGTCCTCCATGCACTTATGTAACGCATATTATTACTTAATTATTATGTACTAATTAATTGAGTTAGTTTCCTTTTAAAAATGTCATTTTGTTAACTGTGATACTGTTATTGAATTGCTTTTTGTTGCAAAAGATAGTATACTTTTTATTTGAATTTTAAAAGTATTTATTTATTGTTTGGAGTGAATGTAACGCATATACCAGTTGTAATTTTCAAAATAATAAAAAAAAGAAAATTCCAGTTGTGTTTCTTTCTTTTTTTTTCTTTATATATAAACATTAATTTTATAAAACGGTTCAAATATCCAAATTGGTAAAATATAGTATTTACATAAAAAAAAATGATTATGTTGGGATATCAATTCAATTCATATATCAAAAGTTTAAACAATTCATATAAGTAATGTTTAACTCTGATTATATAATTTGGACATTACTTTCGATTCGAATTTCGTACTCTCGTTTTCTCTCACGAGGTGATTCGTCCAACTCTGATTATACAATTTCGATGACATTACTTCCGAATTTCGTACTGATTATAAATGGCAAAATTCTCGTTTTATTTACACGAGGTGATTCGTAGATGACAATTTGTAAATGGTTTCATTCACTCACTCAGCGAAAAATCTCTCAAGATTATGCATTCGTTGACCATCGTTCCAAGAATAGCAACATGTTAGTTGAAGATATTTGAACTATGGTCAGCGAATAGCTATGATAAAGAATTGGGGTCGTGGACCGGCCGATCAAGAATTTATCACTTAAGAATAGCTATGATAAAGAATTGCGGTCGTGGACCGGCCGATCAAGAATTTTTTTCGTGAGTGATCGGCCGGTCCATAGACATTTGAACTATGGTCAGCAAACTGCGGTCGTGGACCGACCAATCACTCAAGAATAGCTATGATAAAGAATTGCGGTTGTGGACCAGCCGATCACTCACGAAAACCAAACTTATGGATTTATGGTGAATTTGGTACAGAGATAAATAACCAATTGTTAACAACACGTAATTCATAAGATAATTGTTCAGAAGAACTTCCAACCATGAAAGATTTTTATTCATAGATGCATCGATGATACAAGTAAGCCCTGAAGATATGAACATGAAGAAGGAAGAAATTTGCTCGCATTTCTAAGTAACTCTATCAGCTCCTCTCCTTGTCCCTTCAAAATGTAAACTTCTTCATCAATCTTCTTCACCACCGAGCTGTCGCAATCTGAAAACAGAACCTTCACAACAGGGCTTAGCTCTGATGTGGAACCTTGTTCATCTTGGCTCGAGCAAAGACCAGTCGAGGACCAAGAGTTTGGATTCAGGATTACAATCTGGAACAGAGGCGATTTGGTTGTCAAATCTTTGACCAACACATGAAAAGATAACTCTTCTTTGGCGCATTCCGTTAGCTGATTGGTAAACATTTTTTCCAACGTGTATTTCCTGAAAACATCAGAGGATTCACCAGACACCGATGATGTGGAAATATAGCATTTGAAGAGTCTAACTCCACCATCTATGGGTTTATCGTTGTTCTCGCCACCAGACGAAGGATAGGCTCCAAGGGGAGATGAACAATCTGAGCAAACAAACTCAATCCACTCCACATTCTTCGACACATTCGACGCTTTTGCCATAAAAACATCCTCAAGAAACCCATCAAGAAGAAACTTCTTATCAAGTGTAAGTTGCTGGTCCAACTGAAAACTCTCACTAGAGTCAGATGAATCATGTACACAACATTCATGCATTAATACCTTACGCATCGAGGAGTCATCAATTTGACCACAAGCAAGTCCAAGAATATTCTCACCTCCATTCTCGTGTCCGTCAGAACCCGATTCAACTCCACCATGATCACAACTGAGAGCTAAACTCGATTCAAATCGGTTCTCGATTCCAGACCAGACGCACTCTATGAGATCATCTTTGCTAAGCAAAACTGTTGTGGCACTAAGTAAACACAACCCACTAGAGCAAGTATACGAATTCGTGTAGTTAGCTACCATCTTCTCACTAATTCCTCCAAATGAACAACAACAATTACCAAACCAGTTATCAGCAGATTCTCGCCAATTAATAGACGGCATTTCTGAGAAATCGAAAAGGGCTTTCTTTGTTAACCTAGTCGAGCAATTCCTACAGTTAAAATGAACACTTCCCATTGAAGATAGACTCTTCAGATCATAACCCAACACTAAAGGAGCCGACTTTTCTCCAATTCCGACAGAATCAGACACCAAATTGAAATCGGAGACTAGAGGATGATCTACTGGGAGTAACAGAACAAGTCTAACCTCAATGTGATCGTCCAAAGCTCTGAAATTGACAGGAGAATCAGCATCGAGCAAAACCCTAGGAACAGGAACACGAAGAGAAACAACCTCTTTACTTCCGTCGTCTTCGTCACCGATCCAAGTGACGAGAAGCTGAGATTTTTCGAGGTTAAGAGTAACATCGAGTCTTTTGCAGTGGGCCTTAGGGTTGGTTTTGGAATCGAAAAGAAAAAGACGAAGATTTGGAGAATGAGATTGAGCTTCCCATGTGTACCGCCATTTCCTCTGGGTTTTAGGGTTTTGCTCCATTGGAAAATTTGCTCTGTTTCGATTTTTGCGATAAAATAATTTTGTGTTTTAAAGTTTTGATGATTATTATACGAATGGGCTTAATAAGATTTAGCCCAGGAAGATAATCTGGGTCCATTGGTGAACAATAATTAGGAAAACGATTTAAAAAAAGATAATTACTAAAAGTTGTCTCATTACTAAACAAATGAAAAAATCGGTCTTAAAACATCTTATTACAAGAATACCATTATGAATTTATCATATAAAAAAAATATAAATATTTATGTTCGAAATCGCGGCTGCAGAGGCGGCGGATACGCGTTCAACAGAGTTATGCCGTCGGAATTTAGGTAAAATCGGATTAAAAATCAAAAGTTGAAAAAAAAAATCGAAATCTTTTGATTTTCAGTTAGAAAAATATATATTTTGTTAGATCTACTAGTTTTAGGCTAAATCCAGTTCAAAACAAGTTAAAATACAGTAAGAACGAGCTAAAAGTTGGGTCGTGTGGAGAAGATGAACCTAAAATTACGATTTTACCATTTTAAAAATAACTCTACCACTACTATAAATAAGTCTACCACATATTATAAATCTACCACTACTATAAATAAGTCTACGATTGCGAACCATCAATAAGTCTACCGATCAAAAAATTAAGTTTACCAACCAGGAATTTAAGTCTACCATCGAGGAATTTAAATCTACCACGAGTAATTAGTATTATAAATCTACCACTACTATAAATAAGTCTACGATTGCGAACCATCAATAAGTCTACCGATCAAAAAATTAAGTTTACCAACCAGGAATTTAAGTCTACCATCGAGGAATTTAAATCTACCACGAGTAATTAGTCTACCATCACATACAAATAAATCTACAACTCAATAATAAGTCTACCGAGATAAATCTACCATTCGATTACTAAGTCTATCATTCAAAAATAAATATACCACTATTGGCGTTAAGTATACCACCCCAAAACATCTCTACCACTAAATAAAAACAAGTATACACAATAAGTCTACCATTCAAATATAAACTCTTCCGTTCGTCGATTAAATCTACGTACTTGAATTAAGTTTACCAACCACTTAATAAATCTACCAATCCTAAAATAAATCTACCATCACATGAACGATAGACTTATTCGCTTTTGGCGAAAAAATATTTGCTGCCTCATTAACGACAGTTTCGTAAATACATTTTTTGTCTTCAAATCTGATAAGGGTAAAACGGGTACATAAAGTTGTTTGAGTAATATTCAAAGATGAACATCATTTTGGTCAAAAACCAACTTTCCAAGGTTATTTTAGTAAACCTCCCATTTAAAAAAACGTCAGTTTTTAAAAGGTTTTTTATTTATAAT